CCACCGCCGCTCGCGTAGACGACGACCGTCCGTCGCGCGTCGTCTATAGGTTTATGAACTGCCGAGTGTGGTAATATAGGAACGGATCGAGAAAAGTACGCGTGGCCACGACGAACGTCGACGATGCGTACCGCCGCGCTGACCGCGGTCGCGGTGTTGGCCTGCTGCCGGCTACAGCTACCTGCCGTTCAGGCCGCGTGCCTGCACACGGCCAGGGACCTGCAGGCCCAGGCCCGCGCGTCCGAGGTGGTGGTCAAGGCGCTGGCTATGCGCGTTTGGCCGGAATCCGATGGACTGGTGGGCGGCCACTTTGCCGTCATTGCCGTCTACAAGGGCGCCCGGGCCGTGAAAAACGTGTTGCGCGTCGGCGGCACTGATTTGTTCAACATACACGACAAGTGAGCTATATTTTGTTTCGCGCTTCCATCTCACAATAATTTTAYTATCGTAACAACAATTATCGAAAAAGCAAATAAGGACTAGGATTTTGACGCAATTAGTGCAATAATCTTTTGTAATTTAAAAAAATAATATGATTTCTCTTCATGCATTTCAAGTTTAATACGGTTGCTGTATAGTTGTGATTATGTAGATGACGAAAACAATCAACATTTTGATTGTTTTTGAAATATTTTTTTGTAAATGCTCTATCAGGTATATATTTCATTACGACACAGATGATACTAAAAAAATATCTAAATCCAAGTGTAGAGAACTAAAATACCATAATTTAAATTATATTATAATTTACCAGTAATCACCGTATGCATATTATATTGCTAAATATTGATGATCGTTCTGACAGGTTTTGCATTGAAATATAACAAATTTCAATAATCATAATTGTCRGATATATTAGGTACTTATTTACTACTTATATATTACTATAGTAGATACTAGAGAAACAGATTTATAATATTTAAAATGTGTGTAAATGGTGTCGGACGGGGKTTTTTTTTTGTTACATAAACGCCTATAGCCTAACATTTATACATTAATAAAAGTCAGTATAAGATTATAGTGAAGAGTGTTTTTCAGCCGATGGGACCGTTTTGTTTTTAAATTTTATAAATGTTAGTGTATAAAAAAATACAACGTATTCCTCAGGCCCACAACATAGTATAAGGGAAGGAAATCTATATTTTATAAGCTATGAAGAAATTTTCTGCATATCACTATTTTCAGAAATTGTAATGCTTTTTTGTTATTTATTTTAATTGAAAATACAAACATCAAGTATTATAGTATTACAATATAAAATAATTATTCTTCTATTCCTGCAAATGTATGCGCTAGTATTAACACATTTTATTCATATAAAATAAAACTGGAATATTTAAATCATAGAGCTATTATACCGATCGGTACATCGGTATAAAATTATTAATTACCATTCTGAATATAACTTAAAGAATTGTTAATTTATTTTTATCAATCACAGCATACATTAGAAAGGTGTTACCAGTTCTTGAATTTCTGTGTGTGTGGGGGGGGGAGGGGGGTGGCATAGGCTGATAGTTTCGTTTTGTCATTGATTTCAGTTTATTCTCTGATTTAATTAGACGAAAAATGCTAGAAACGCACC